GAGGTCTCTTTCTGGAGCCTTCTCCGCTCCAGGTTGAACAACAGCCTGTCTCCATGGCAGAGGTGTTCCAGCCCATTCTGTGCACTCCCTGTAGACTGCAAATATAATCCAAGCCTATGAAATGGTGTTTGCAGATCTTTACTTCATGTGGTTTCACCTTTTTGCACTATCCATTGTGCCTGTACCATCACTCACCATGCTGAGTATTGTTCTCCATCACAGGCTGTGTGCCACCTCTCCAGTGAAAATGCAACTAAGAAAACAACTGGGAGCACTGAACTTCCAGTCATCAGCTCCAGACTTCAATCCTTTCATTACCTTCTTCTCATTCTTAATTTTGCAGCAGAAGCCCTTCGAGACTCTTACCTCTTTGCTTCTGCAAACAATGCTTAACTATGTGGCTTCTTACTTTCTCTGCAAAGAACAGCCTGAATGTTCCTCATCTCTAAGCTTCCTGCATCCTTTCAGGCTCAGGCTCACCTTAATCTGGCTTTGATTGGGATTGACTTAAAAAACCTTCAAATTTATGCTGTAAGTGATTTGGGATCTTAACTTCTCCTTCCAGCCCTTTCCACGACCTCACTATTCTTCACTATGACAGGTCTTCCCATCTTCTGCTTTGTTCTCCAAAGTGCCTCAAAAACAGTTAACTTGACATAGTATCAGAAGTACATTTAAACAATGAATACCTTTGAGGTGTACTGGAAGATGTCAGCAATGATCCTCATGGATGGCTCTGGAGGGAATATGTAGGTATTGCGGACCATGAACTCCTTCAGGATGTCATTTTGGATTGTCCCTGTCAGCTTGGCCTGGGGCACTCCCTGCTCTTCTCCAGTCACAATGAATGTTGCCAACACGGGAATCACTGCCCCGTTCATTGTCATGGAAACAGACATTTTCTCCAAAGGAATTCCATCAAAAAGGATTTTAGTGTCTTCCACAGTGTCAATGGCAACTCCAGCCATTCCAACATCTCCTCGGACTCGTGGATTGTCTGAATCATACCCACGGTGGGTGGCCAAATCAAAAGCAACAGACAATCCCTGCTGGCCAGCTACAGGAAAGAGAAACAAAAAACCATGGTATCAAAAGATGCAGAAATCTCCAAACAACTCCTCAACAATCACAGAGAATTGGTTTGGGTTGGAAGGGACCTTAAAGATCATCTACTTCCAACCCCCCTGCCATGGGCAGGGACATCTGCAAAGGACAACACTCTGCAGAAATATTGGGAAAACTGTTCTCAAATAAGGAAAATCCCCATATTTTGTATTTAGTAATATGCCATGAATGATACTATTTATAGGTATTTATGAGTTCATTCAGAATATGAGATGGAAATCCAAAATGTCAGAATGCACTAACACCAGAAGTTAAGTCACATAGTTCAACATTTTTTTTCCACTACAATCTTCTCTCATGGTCTCAAAACGAGTGTGAAGTGCTCCATAATCTCTGCTGGTTGGACTCTGGGATGGAGCCAAATTACATCTCTCTATGTGTTAAGGTGCAATAACTAAAACCAGCATTTAACACATTTCTTTTCCACAGCAAAATGAAGCAAAGTCAGTTCCAGAAATGATCCAATTTCCCAATAATAAAGAAATATAGATAGTGCCACTGGGAAGATCCCATCAGAAACCCAAACTCACGAGGCAGAACGATCACATTTGCCATGTAGCACACTGAATCCATGTTCCCCACTGCTTCACAAGGCAATGCTTTTTCCCAAACCAGCTGCCCTACCTTTTATGTTGTCCTTGTAGAACTTGTTGCTCTCTTCCACTGTGCTGAATCCAGCATATTGTCGGATTGTCCATGGCCTATAGGTGTACATGGTGGGATAGGGCCCCCGAGTGAAAGGTTTCACCCCTGGCAGCTCCTCAGGGAGGTCCTTGGTGTCCCTCTTGGAGTACAACGGCTTGATGTCGATCCCCTCTGGGGTGTGCCAGATTAAATCCTTGGGGTTTTTGCCTTTCAGCTGCTTTTCAGCCAGGGCAGCCCACTCTGGGTGCAGGGGCTGCCTGTGCAGGGAACGCCACGTGCTCCGGCCGGCTGGAATCTGGGCCAGGGGCATGCGGTGGCACGGCCGCAGCCGCAGGATGACGTCCCTGGCCCTCAGCATGGCTGAGCTGTCAGCCCGGGGTGAGCTGGACAAAATAAATACACATATCTGCATCATCATTTTCCTCTAGCCAAGGAAACGTTCCCAAACCCGTCTATATTCACATCGTAAATGTGTCACTTATTCAGTCCCTCAGCAGCACCATCGTTAATCAGTCACTGAAAAGCCAGTGTGAGGCATGAAGATGCCATGCCCAGCTACCCTCTGACCTTCCCACCTCCCTCATCTATGAATTCCTTAAAGAGGGACCCTCTTCCAGGAATGGGGCAGCCAAGGTTTCTCTGGATAACCTGTACCAGGGCCTCACCACCGTCACAGGGAAGGTTTTCTTCTTATATCCAACATCAAGGCGGCACTCTGCAGAAAGTGGACTGTCAGAAAATTGCTGATAAATCACAAACTTTGGAAAAGGTGGCTTGGGCTGGATGGTAACCAGAGACACTGAGAAAAAAAGGAGAAAAAGACTGTGGCATGTGAGAACACAGGGATAATGCAAGAGCTCCAGAGCTCATCTCACCACACGTGAGACTGGTATGGAAGACAACTTTAACTTCCTCTGTGAGGGTGGTGAGGCCCTGGCACAGGCTGCCCAGAGCAGCTGTGGTTGCTTCATCCCTAGAAATGCTCAAGGCTGGATGGGGCTTGGAGCAACCTGGTGTAGTGGAAGGCATCCTGGCCCATGGCAAGAGGTTGGAATGAGATCATCTTTAAGGTTCCTTCCAACCCAAACCATCGTGTGATTCTGTAAGCTCAGTAACTCCTGAAAGCTGTAAGCTCCTTTGCTGCTGCTCTCCACACCCTATCCCTGCTTCTTTCTGAAGCCACAACCTTTACAGCTTGGCTCCAAGGGCACTCACCTCCTCTCTGCCTCATTTCCTTCACAACCCCTGGAAAATCACACTTCCCTGACACCTTCATGAGAAATCTCACATAAAACTGGAAAACACCTCTCACCTCTCATTATGGTGTTGCAGCAACACTCCAAATACGTGCTTTAATAATATATATGCTAAATGTGGTATGTATATAACCTGCTGGGCACAGAGGAGCACCTGAGGAGCACTCATTCCCTGTGGGCATGTGATGCTGCAGCCAGGATGAAAGGCAACCTGGGCCCCCACTGCTGCATCAGTCACAGAATCAAAGAATGGGGCAGGTTGGGAGGGACCACAAGGGGTCATCTGGTCCAACCTCCCTGCTCAAGTAGGGTCCTCTCAGAGCACATGGCATAGGATTGTGTCCAGACAGCTCTGGAACATCTCCAGTGAGGGAGATTCCACAAACTCTCTGGGTAACCTGTTCCTGTTCCAGTACTCGGTCACTGCACAGGAAAGAAGTTCTTCCTCATGTTCAGGTGGACCCTCCTGGGTACCAGTTCCATTCGTCTTGTCCCATTGCTGGGAAACCCCAAGGACAGCCTGGTCCATCCTCTGCCCCCTCCCTGCAAACACTGACAGACATGGATGAGGTCGCCACTCAGTGTTTCTTCTTGAGGCTGAACAGGCCCAGCTCCCTCAGCCTTTCCTCCTAAGAGAGATGCTCCAGTCCCTTCATCATCTTTGTAACCCTCTGCTGGAGCTATGTAAGAGACTTAAAAATCATAATTGTCTTAACCACTGTTAAGATCACCGGAGGACTTTGCCTACTATGCCAAAGTGTATAAAGAAGCTCCAACCACAGAAGCTCACCCTGCCCAAATACGCCTCCTGAAACTGGGAAACTGGACTGTGAGTTAAGCCACCTGAACTTGAGAGAAGATAAAGGCAGTACTACTGTCCAATTATCTCAGATCTAAGGAGAATTAAACAAGCCTGGGGGAGAGGAATGTATCCACAAGGAAAGCCAACTCAGCAGCTGTGCTGAAAATCAGCCCTCGCTGCGTCTGGCAGGGGGAGGCCATAGCCCCCAGACTCATTTCTGAGCCCACAAGATCCACAGTGTTGCAACAGATCCACAGTGTTGCAAAAAACCATGTAAAACTCCCTTCTGCAGGGGAGGTGCTTGGGTACCCCATATCCCTGAATTTATACTAATCCATTGAACTCTGTGTTTTGTGGAACCCTCACCACCAAGAAGCCACGGGCAAAAGGACTACAGGACACCTTCTGGATCCATGAGGTGGTGATATCTGCCTACTTTTTGTCACTCTCTTTCTCTCCCCCTCCCTCTCTTTTCTATTTTTTTCTCTCTCTCTCTCTCTCCCCCTCACATTTACTGTTAAACAAAATCCGTACTACTGACTTCGGCATGTGGTCTCTTTTGCACTTTAAATGGGGAAGAGGCATCTCTCTAATAATCGTAATAATCTGATCACAACAACTCGCTCCAGGAGCTCCACGTCTCTCCCGTCCCAAGGAGCCCAGAGCTGGGCACAGTACTCCAGATGTGCCTCCCCAGGGCTGAGCAGAGGGGCAGGATCCCCTCCCTGACCTGCTGGCAATGCTGTCACTAATACACTCCAGGACTGTTCCTCCCCAGGCGCAGGACGCTGCACCGGCCCTTGCTGAGCTTCAGTCAGTTCTCTGCTCATCTCTCCATCACCAGCCCCTCACCCCGAGGGAGCCCCAAAGCCGCCCTGTCCGCTGTCCCCCCTCAGCGCCCACAGCCGGGGGGTGACCGGGTGCCCCCCGCCACCACCTCCCGCCCACAAACACGCCCCCTCGGCGGCCAATGGGGACGCGGGGCCGGGACCGCGTCTGGGTTAGGGGATCGGGACAAGGACAGAGACCGGGACAGGGACTGCGGACATGGATATGGACAGGGATAAGGGCAGGAATGGGAATAGGGACAGACACCTCTCCCCCCCCCCACTTCCCGTTACCTGTCTCGGCCCCTCCGTCAGCGCTCGGGTCCCGCGCACGCGCAGCGGGCGGGAACGTCAGTGCGCCTGCGCGCGGGGAGCGCGGTTTATTTTGTAACGTCCCGGCGAGCTGAGGTAGGGGCGCTGAGGAGGAGGAGGAAGAGGAGGCGGCAGCGCCGGGCCGGTGAGGCTCGGGGCGGGATGAACCGGGAGGGGGGAGAAGGTTTTTGTGGAGATGCTCCCCGGGGTGTTATCAGGCAGCGGCAAGAGAGCGAGCGTTTAGGGGTATTGGGAGTATGGTTGGGGAGGACTACAACTCCCAGCCTGCATTGCGCTCGGTATGCGAGTTCTCCGAGCTGCACTGTTGAGCGGTGCATGCCGGGAGTTGTAGTCCTCGCGCCATCTCTTGTGAGCTGCGAAAGCTGTTATATAGCCTCGGCAGTTGTGGAGGAGAAAGACAGCGCTTACTTACCTGGTTTAGGGTTTATGTACCTTTTATAGGGCTTGCTTACCTCGTTTAGGCATTATTTACCTCTTACAGGGCTTCTTAACATGGCTTGGTTACCTGGCCTGGAGCTTATTTATCTGGTGTAGGGTCAGTCACAACGCTCCCCTGGTGAGCCGTGACAGGACCTCTGAGTGAGGGGAAAATGGGCCGAGGGGATGAAAGAAAAACTGAATATATATAGAGAGAAGAGCAGGGTGGTGGGGTGTTGTGGCTGTTCCCTTCTGTGGGATTGCTCTTCCCTCTGTCTCTGTAGTAAGTAAGAAAAGAAACTATAGGTTTAAATGGCAGCAAAGACTGTTGTAATTAGGGGCTAAGGTAAGAAGGTCTGGTAATTGGATGATTCTGCTCAGCTGCATTAGAAAGATAAAACCACACAATGATTTGGGTTGGAAGGAACCTTAATGACCATCTAGTCCCACCCCCCCACCATGTGCAGGGACACTTTCCACTACCCCACCTTCCTCCAAGCCCCATCCAACCTGGCTTTGAACACTTACAGGGATGGAGCAGCCACAGCTTCTCTGGACAACCTGTGCCAGAGCCTCACCTCCCTTTCAGGGAAGAGTTTTTTCTTAATATCTCATCTAAACCTGCCCTCTGTCAGTTTAAAGCCATTCTCCCTTGTCCTGTCCCTCCAGACCCTTGTGCAAAGTCCCTCTCCAGCTCTCTTAGAGCCCCTTTAGGCACTGGTAGGAGCTCTAAGTTCTCCCCTGAGCCTTTTCCAGGTGAACACCCCCAGCTCTCCCAACCTGTCTCCACAGCAGAGGTGCTCCAGCCCTTAGAGCATCTCCGTGGCATCCCCTGGACTTGCTCCAGCAGCGCCACATCCTTCTTATTTTAGGGGCCCCAGAGCTGGACACAGTGTTACAGGCAGGGTCTTTTGAGAGCAGAGAATTTTCTACTTTAAGAACAAATGAGGCTTTTCTCAGGTCAGTTCTGTTGCTTTACCATTGCTGTTCTTTGACATCCCCGTCATGCTGCCTTTTAACTTTAGAAACAGATGTGAAACAAGTAAGAGTTTGTCTAAAAGGCAGATGGGGATGCTTTTTTAGGAGTCCTGCACTTAGGTAAATATACAAGATTTAGGCTTTGGATTAGCAAATATGCGAACATTTGTGCTCATTTAGGCTCGTAATTGCTAGATTTTAATTTTGTCTTTTCCTCCTGTTCCTGTTGGTTTACAGATAATGAAACCCCGCCACACACCTTCCACTAAAATGGGGGAGACCCCTGGTGGGAGATCAGCAAAAAACCCTTTTAAGTCTCAACACAAACTGAAACCTTCCAGCAAAAAAAAAGGAACAGATGGAGAAGGAAGAAAACAAGGTCAAAAAAGACAGGTATTCATTATTTTGGATCAAAATAGAAAAGTAACCAAAGGGGCGGGAAAAAGAGATATTTTTGCCCATTTTTAAACTGAAATTTATAGAGAACAATTAAGTAACTAAATGTAACTCGAGGAAATGCCCAGTGTGAACAGCTCTTTTGAGCAGCCTTGATTGCTTCCTGGTTTCCAGAATTCCTAGTTGGGTGCTACTGTGCCTGTCACAAGTAGAGGGAAGCATTGCCTGATCATGAGCAAAAAGGCAAGCTGGCTGTGCAGTTGTGAAGAGCTGCTGAACAGCATCTGATTGAGCAGAGTGATCAGGTCAGAGTTCATTCAGGCTCAGTTTATTCACCTTTGGAAGATATTCTTTGCATGTCTCACGACAGGATTCTCCAACAAGGTTTGTTACCCAGCTGAACTGATGAACAGCACGATCTCAAGATGCTGCTGAACAGACAAACATCCTGTGCATTTATTTCATGATCTCATTCTTGGAATGGGAGGAATTGGGAAGAGTGAATTTTTTTTCCTTAGTCTACTTGGCATGAATTACTGTTGCACAGTTCAAAAAAGATGGTTTTTTTAGTGGTCAGTGTCAAAGGTTTCTGTCAGGCACTAACACAGTGGGTTGATGGTAGTGGATGGATGATGGCACAGCAGAGGATGTTTCAAAATTGCCACATTTGCTACAAATTCTTCTCTTCAGCAGGTCACTGAGACAGTGAAAAGGACAGTTAAGAAGCAGAGAGACTGTTCCCCTAGAGGTAGGACCTTGTTCTTTGCTGTTAAATCTGAAGTGTTACACCTTTGACTCCCATCTGACTGAAATGAGTCACAAAACCATCTGCCCAGGTTTGACAAATCATATTTTTTCCTTTTCTTCCTTTATGTTAACAGGAGAAAATGTTTCTTCAAAAAAAGTGAAGCTTTCCAGTGCCACAATAGGATCTTGGCAGACTCTCTCAGAGAGCAGTAGACAATTTCTGGAAAGTGCAGTGGATTCAGCAGTACTGTAAGTGCCAAATATCCTGGTGGTTCTTCTTTGTTTCCGCAAGGAATAAAGTAAAAATTGTAGTATTGTTTGAACTGGAAATGCTTTGGAGCTTTTTTGGGCAATATGGCTGTCTGTCTATATTTTATGCAATATAATATAACACTTTCTGTCTGAAATTGGAAATTTTTACCTAGAGAAGTTCTGACTGTGTGCACTTCATTTGATGTGTTCTCTGTGCTTGCAGGCTTTGTGACAGGAATTCTGCCTTTGTTTTCTTTCCAGATCTGTGTTGTGCCAACAGAGGAAGGAGAAAGATGATGTTCAGAAGCACCTCAATGTACTGAAAAAAAGGTAAGAAACTATAAATTAAAAGAAAACAATGAGAGAAGAGATTTCTTTTACCCAGTTATTTTGTACCATGCTTTGAGGGTAAGCTAAACTCTCCCTCTGACAAAAAGCTATATATCCTATATCATGTTCAGGTTTTACTAAAATGATGATTGTTTGGAAGAAGCTAAAATGCTGATTTTAGAACTTAGTTTTACTTTGAAAAGCAGAAGGGTCAGAATAGTTTATAATCAGGGAATGTACAGGCCAGTGGGATGGAAATCACACAAGGTCAGTGCAGTAGCAAAGGTGAGAATGGTGGGATTTCTTGTTCCTGGTTCCTTCTTTGGATAGACATCTATTCCACATGATTTTGGAAAACAGTTCAAGACAGCTTTCCTTCCTGTCTGGAGCCTTTTACTTCACTAGCAGCAATTGGGCTAAACTGAGTTTAGTTTTTTCCCCAGAGAAGTAATTAATCACTTCTAGTTTTGCAAAGAACTGCAAGTCATGTTTTCCTTTTTGTACACTTAAGGGTGCTGAAAGTTTTCAAGACTGTAAAGGTGCCTCCAGGGAAACTGGACAGCCTGAAGAATATCCCAAGCCTTCAAATGGCAGAGAGACAAATGCTTGAGGCAAATGAGGAATCTTTGGCACAGCTGCAGGTATGAAAGGCAAGAAAGGGAAGGAGTTACCTTACCCAGTTGCTGCTGCTCAGTGTGTGTTGTAACCTTTTAGTAGAGAGAGAGCTGACTGTACCTATGCTCTTGTGGAGGAGTGTCCACTCCTCATCATAACCCACCTTTGATGCACAGCAGTGTCTCTGTCTGGATGGTTCTGTACAAAAGGCTCCCCATCTTTGAAGTAAATTTTATTCTGGTGTTGTGTCTGTTTTATTTTAGGAAGAAATAACTGAAGCTGAGCGATCAGCAGACCGCATTGAGGAAACTGTGCAGCAACTGAAGTACAAAATCCAGCTGCTGAAGAACCAGTTAGAGGAAGATGAAAAAGAGGCCAGGAAGGTATCTCCAATAAATACTTCTGTACCCTAACCTATAGGAATGGGCTAACTTCCAGAGCTGTCCTAAACAAGCTGTTTCTCAGGGAATGTCATTTAAGGAAGGCCTCATTTGCCTTTGAGAATAATTCTTTTCAATTTCACCAACTTTAGTTGCAAAATTAAGAAGTTTAGTTTTCAGAAGTTGGATAATGACAGCCAGGTTATTTTCCTACTGGGGAACCTGATGTTTGGGGTTTTTTGGATTATTTTTTCTTTTTCCCTTCCTAGATATTCCAGGAAAATGGCAGTGGTGCACTCCACCTTCCAGAACTCCCCAAGCACAGTGTGCAGGCACCTACTTTGCAGGTGCGTGTGGAATATATAATATATTTATATACGTGTATGTAACTGTTATTTATATAAATATATATATGTGTAATACTTTGGTTATGAGAAGGAAGGCAGCAGAATGTGCTTTTATCACATCTTCTGTCAGAGGGGGAAAATCTGAAAATTCAGAAAAATTGGAGAGTTTTCTTTTTCCTTTTTTTTTCTTGTTTCTTTTCATTGGGAACTATGTACTTATGTTTTAAAAACCAAACAAAACCCTGGAAACTCTCTCCATCCCTGAAAGTGTTCAAGGCCGGGTTGGATGGGACCTGAATAACTTGGTGTAGTGGAAGATGTCCCTGTCATTGGCAGGGGCCTTAGAGCTGGATGATCTTTAAGGTCCCTTCTAAGCTAAATCACTCTCTAATTAAAAGGATCACTTGTCTCTTCCTAGAAAAACCTGTGGTCCTAGGGAACCTGTAATCATACCTGAAACATATCTATAACTGTTGAAGGGAAGACTTACTCTTTGTCTTTTTGAATCTTTTTTTATCTTACTTTGGCTACAACTGGGCTGCACGAAAGGGGAATTCCTGTTGCACTTGACAAAAGCAGTTTTTATTTGTTATCCGTCATTCTTTCCTTCTTTAGGAAGAAATTTTGAAGACAAAGAATCAGAAAGGTCTGTTAAAGGATTTGAACACTATTCAACAGTCAACTGACTTGAAGAACTTGTTAACCCTCATTGAAAAGACCTATGAGAAGGTGGACTTGCTTTGAGAAGATGAAATGTGTGGAGTCTCCTTTGGAGGAGATAATGTCGACCAGCACTCTGTGTTAATGTAGAGCAGCAGGATGCTCAGCATGGAAACTGTTTTCTTTCTAATGGCTTTGCTGTTGTGACTGCTGAATTTCCCTTAAAACATTTTCTATGAATATTGGTATATAAATCTGTAGATACATTCTGGGACTCCAGTGATTTATGTCATCTATCAAGGATTCTTTTGGGGTTTGACTTGTGATGACTTCTAATGTTGATATATCCTGTCCTAGGAGAAGGGAGGGAAATGGATCCTGGGTTATTTGGGCATTTTTATAGAATTAGGCAACTATTCCATTATATTTGCACTTCTGTATCTACATCTGTAGATCACTGAAGGCAGAATCTCTTAACCAAAGTAAGAGTTAAATCCTTTTTAAACCTGAACCACCAAGTAAAAATATGATTTTCTAATAAAAATAAAATAAAATAAAAATAAAAAGTTGTAAATGCCCTGTTCGATTTTCTACTTTTTTTTTTTTTTTTTTTTTTTGGTAAAACAGCCTCCATGACAGGAAATTGAATAATTTTTATGAAATGTACAGGATTTTTTTGCACTTCCATGTTCACTGCTAAAAAATAACTCCACCTGATTTATCCAGGTGCTCGGGGAAACTACCTGAGAACATTATAGAGCTAAGCTCTGATGTCAGAGTTGTGTACTCACCTTGTATTTCATTAACTGTCAAATACCTTTTGGCTTCAGAGGATGAAAATGAAATTAAAAAATCTGTTTTCCCATGCATAATTATTTAAAAATATTTCTCAAATTTTTGATCACTTGACAAGGGGAGCATTTACTGACTTTACCCAAAAGTACTTTAACCCATGATTTTCCTGCGTACCAGCATCTTAATTTTTGCTTTGTTTCATTGAGGGTGATTTACTTGTGAGCAAATTACTGTGTGGGTTTTGAACTGCCTGAACCAATGGATACCTTTTCATTTTTTTTTTTAAAGTGTGGAAAAGGGCAGTAAGTAGGAGTCAGATACAGCTTCCACACAAGGAAAGCAGAAATAGTAGTAATTGAAGAAGGAGCTTCTGCATTACAGGGGTAGATAGGTACAGGTTAATTTTTTTAATTAACTATTTTATTTTTTTCCTGAGACTAGGTGATTTGTGATAGGCTGGCTGTTCTTAGGATGTTGTTATCTTGGGGTTGTCATGCACACATAAGCAGAAAAACATAAACCGGGAACATAAATCCAGACATTTAGGAAGTGGTCTTAGCTCAACTTACTTGATGTTGGATACACTTTATTCATGCAGAATGGTCAGATTGTGGCTTTGATGAGATTAGAAGACCCCTCTAGGAGCAGGTTCACTGTTGATCAGTCTGTGTGGAGCTGTGAACTTGTGTGATATGACCTGGGAGCATCTGAAACTTCAATTTCACAAGCCTTGGCTTCAAACAGTAAGTTATAAGCTGCAGATTTCTTAAGATATATCAATAACATTCATCTGTATCCCATATCAACCCTTTCTTATGTTCAAGCAAAACATCTGCATGTCCTCTCAGGTAACACTTCGATGTTCTTTCTGTATCGACTCTTCTGCCTTGTTTGTAGGTTATCCAGTCCAAATCCAGAGGACAGGATGGGTTAACATCATCAAACTGGACTGACAGGGACAACTGAAAACTCAGGCAAAAGGGGAGCAGGGCTGCCACCTCAAAGTGGTGCTTGGGGCCACTGAGCTGGGTTGGGTTTCTCTGGTCTCAGTTTACCTCATGGTAAGAACCTTGGCACTGAAAATGAGAACTAATTTCCCTCCCACTGAGAAGAAGAGATCATTATAAGTGTGTGCAAAGCATACCATTCACTGGTATAAATGCAAAGAGATTAAATGTCTTCATGAACAAATTTAAAGTTCTTTCTAGAACGTATACTCCTGAACAAGCCCTGTGTCACTTTTCTTACAGAGTCCCTCCTCCTCTGAAGGTGTGGCTGGCTCTGGCTTTTATTTCCATGCTCCCCCCAAAAAAGACAGAACAAAGCTGCTAGGAACAGTATACCAATTTAGAACAACTTGGATCAATAAATTTATAGGTTTGAGATTCTGAACGAGGACTCTCATCATTCCCTGTGCAGAAGCAGCCACGAAGCGGATGTATTTTATAGTCTCCTCACTTCAAGTTATTGTTGCACTTTGGAAGGGTGAGCTCCAAGACTGAAGGCAGGTAAGTTATCAAGTGGGCTATACATATCAATATTTTTTCCCAATCTGAAAGTATTTCCAGGCATAAAGGTCTTAGAACTGTCCTTAAGTAAAAGTAGCTGTGTATTCAAACATGTACTGATGCTACCTTTATAGTTGCACGTACAGTGATGCAGTGACCCAGAGACAGTTTTTCCATTGAATATGGTGAGAAAATGGAATGTAAGCTTCAAGGAAGGTAAATACCAACATGTAATCATAGAATCATAGGAGAGTTTGACTTGGAAAGGACATTAAATCTCAACTGGTTCCAGCCTCCTGCCATGGGCAGGGACACCTTCCAGCAGATGAGGTTGCTGATCTGTGATCCTGAGGGGTGACTGTTCATAAGATGTTCCTTAGTAGGAAGGTGGATACTTGATGGCTGCAGTAATTCTTAAGGTATGTTAATATTTATAACAAAATGCAGCAAAGGGAAATGCTTTTAAGATTAAATGGTGCACATTTAAGAGGTAAAAGAAAGAATGAACATTGTGTTACCTCTGAGAAACCTTAGGATTTGAATTCTTCCCTTAGACTTTTTAAGTAAAGTTACTCTTTTTTTTTTTTTTTTTTTTTTGGCTTCTCAGAAACTTTTTGGTTTTGGAAATTTTTTTGTTTGTTTTACACAGGTACGTTCTGAAGCAAGACACTTGTGGGAGATACTGTATTTTATGAAATTAGCAATTGTACCACTCAGTTCCTTCACATTATCTCTTTTTTTGAGTGAATCTTTATATTTTCTATGTGTTCCCAGCAAGAGAGATGCTGGTACTTAACTGCTCCAGGAAGCTGCAGATGCTTGAGAAAATGTTAAGGAAGAGTTTTCCTGAGTCCCTTAAGGTAACAGCACTGACCTGCATTTTCTGTGGTATTTCCATCAGTGGTTTTGGATGTTTGTCAGGGAATCAAAACTCTAGGGAAAGGGTTGCACTTCCTCTGGACTGACTGATAGTTGCTGTTTGGATAACTGCATCTGAGATATCATGGAATCAAGGAATGGTTTGTCTTGGAAGGGATCTTAAAGCTCATCCAGTTCCAACATCCTGGCATAGCCAGGGGCACCTTCCTCTAGATCAGGTTACTCCAAGCCCCGTCCAACCTGGCCTTCAACACTTCCAGGGAAGGAGCAGCCACAGCTTCTCTGGGCAACCTGTGCCAGGGCCTCACCATCCTCACAGGGAAGAATTTCTTCCTAATCTCTAATCTAAATCTGCCCTCTTTCAGTTTGAAGCCATTCTCCCTTGTCCTGTCACTCCAGACTCTTGTAAAATGTTCCTCTTAGATGTTCTTGTAGCTCTCTTAGAACCCCTTTAGGTACTGGAAGGTGCTCTGAGGTCTCCTCGGGGCTTTCCCTTCTCCAGGCTTAACAGCCCCAACTCTCTCAGCCTGTCTTATCCTTTGGTCCTGATTACTAACCTAAGTTCCCGTTCTTAAGAAAAGAACATTAGTCCACCTCCTCTCCATAGTGATTAGGGTTGACATAATTAGATAATGGTTTATCTTCATGGTATTGTGCCTTACTGGTCAGTGTGTAGGTTTCAGCCTACACACCTGAAGGGTTACATGAGATGTGTGTGTATGTGTGTGAAGCTTTCAGCTCTGTGTCACTGGTTCAGTCTCTGGTTTACAACACATGGTAGCATGTCTCAAACTGTCTTTCTTCTATTGGCTCTTCCTCCTGCAGGTTTATGGAGCTGTGGTGAACATCAGCCGAGGGAACCCCTTCAGGACAGAAGTGGTGGTGGACTCATGGCCAGACTTCAAAGCTGTTATCACCCGGCCACAGAGGGAGGTAGATAGAGGTGGTTTTTATCTTTCTTTCTGAGAGGTGGATCCAACATGACTGGAGCCTTCCTCCCAGCTTTCTGAGAGCTTTATGGATGGAGCCAGCTGTATCTGGGAAGTGTGTAATGGGGAGGTGGGAACCATAAAGTGCCATAGGACATCCCAGTGGGTGCCAGCACAAAGCACACTATAGGGAGTGCTGCTTTTTCCTGAGACGTTCTGCCTAGGAATTCTAGCATGAACAAACTTAGTTATGAAATACATGCTCTAATTGATTGTAATTAGCCTGATTACACTGATTGAAGATTAACTTACAGAGTTTATGTAGAGACACATTCTACTTGCACTCATGCCACTTGACCAAACCTCTCCAAGGATTCTTTGGTCTTTCCAGCCTTTGTGCAGATAGACACACAAAAAAAGAACCTTAGTGACCTTATGGTGGGGCAGATGCTGCTACAAGGTGAAAGAAGGGTCCTTCTGCGTTCCTGTGGTTCATTACAGGCTGTGCTACAGAGGGTTTCAGAGGGGGCATTGCCATAACTCCCTCTGTCCACTGTGATAAAGCAATCTCTGAGCTGCACAAATTTGTGCATGCTTCCCCAACTCTAGGCTCAGATAACAATCCCTTCTTCTTGTAGGCTCATATGAGGTACAACTAAATCCTTGTCGAGGTCTCTGGGACAACCAGCAATGAAGGAGTCAGCACAGGATGCGAACAATCCCCAGCTGGCAGTTTGAGTGTTTCCAGCCTGTTTTGGAGAGTAAGATGGTGTAATAGTATTGATGAGGCCAGACTGTTTTATTTCAGCTCTTTCAGGGGCAGGGAACATATTTTGTTTTCCAGAAGAGGTGTGGTCTGAAGACCTTGTAAACCAAATACCATTTTTTAAGTCTGGAGTTGGCCTTTAGTGAGTTTTGATTCCAATGTGAAAAATCTGTATGTGGGAAGGGGCAGAATTTGTAATTCTTCCATATTTTTTCTCCCCAGAATGAGATGGATGACCTTGACCATTACACCAATGCTTATGCAGTTTTCTACAAGGAGCTGGAGGCTTACTGGGAACTACTGGAAAACACAGATGCCATCAATTGGGGACAAATTTTTCAGATTCAAGGTGCAGTCCAGTTTTACTTGATTCAGAGTAAACAGAATGAGTAGTTTTC